GGTCCTCCAGCACTTCTCCATTGCATTCCTGTGGTCCATTGGAACAGGGAGGATCAGAGGAGGAGCTCTGTGGTACAGCTGACAGCTCTGCAGGAGCAGGTGGTGCCTCTGTGGGGGTAAGGGACTCAGGGGCAGAGGGATTCACATCTTCTTGTGCTAGGCCTGGGTCCTCTATCTCTATTTCCTCTTCGTGTGATATTAGCGCTTCCTCCAGCAAGGCCATAACCTCTGGAGACCCTCCTACATGGCTGCTGATTGGCTGCAGCAACGGTGAATGAGTTACATAGAGGCAGAGCTTCCTGTAGCATTGCACCAGCAAACAGAGCTGTTTGTTCTCCTGGAAACAGGAATAGTCCTTACAGCGGCTGCATGACGACCTGATCTGCATCTTCTGGCCTTTACAACCCGAGCAGACATAATGCTGACACTCTGGATGTGTTGGGGAAATGGGATCCTGGAGCAGTTTACCTGAGACAAAAACATGAGCGAGTTGTTAATCTATGTGTTAATCCACTTTTCACTTATGTACGGAACAACAAAGTTGTTATCAAGAGATTCAGGGGAATCAAAGGTTTCAAAGGTTCTGAAATAGCTGTCCGGAAATGTGTAGTTAAATGGATTCCCCTGAATGAGAAATGATGGGGACATGGAAAGTTCATAGGTTGACGAATGTGGACCAATCGTTGGGATGCGCACACTCCAGCACGTGATTAATTGTGAGCATGTTAATCAGTCATCTTCATAACAACTTTGTTGAAGAGGAATATGAAAATGAATTTTTTTTTTTTTAAATGGTCTTCCATGAGGATCGAACTCACAATCTTAAGACTAAAAGGTCAGGTACCCTACTCGGTGAGCTAATCAGTGACACTAGATCCACCTTGAAATTACCATTAAGAAACGTTCTTGCCAACCCCTGTGTTAAACTACTGTTTTTTTATCTCGAAAAAATTCTCGTTATCATGAGAAAACAGAGTTAAATAAAGATATGAATCGATGGCCGCTTAGGGCTTCCATACTTATGTACACCAAAGATAGTACTATCAACTAGCTGCACAAGAGTCATTTAAAGTCATGTCCATTCACTGTCATGCCTCTACAGAAACAGCTCCAATTACCATTAGAATTGATTAATCTGCTAATTATTTTCCCAATTAGCCACTTGGTCTGTAGAACATTAAAAGACAATTTCCCAGAGTGACTTCTTCGTATACTTTGTTCAATCTGGGATTCTGATCATATTTATACATTTCATGTTGGTGTTTCTCATACCTTTTAAAAAACATATCTGTCCCAGTTTATTAACATAAACAAAGACTCCAACCTGTGTAATCATTATGTTCACATTACTGACTTTTACTGCTTACACCACCCAACCTGTAAATATTGCATGAAAGCACAAATAAATCATGCCAAAAACACCACTGAACAATCGAGAGAGGTCAGAAATACTACCATGGCATTCTGTCAACATTATCCATCTCTAAATACAAGCTGTACCAGCAAACGGAGTGGGCAAATAAAGCATGAATAGAAAACACATGGCTCTGCAGCAGACACAACAACAGAGGAGTGATCTGTCTTGACAAGAGGACAGATGACTGGGGCTCTGCCTCGGTTGCTATGGAGACGACGGCGGTGAGCACTACAAATCGTGTCAACTGCTGCGAGCACACGCACGCCCACGGACACTTCAGTCAATATGAATACTAACGTTATGATCACTCACTTTTATCAATGTGAAAGTCATTTGTGGTACTGATGATAGTCTTGCAATGTAGTGAAACAATACGACAAATATTTTCAGGATGCTTACCACAGACAAGGCATGCGAGGGACTGTCGGAAGACAGGCAGTAGCTTGTACATCTCTGCGAAGGTGTGAGGCTGCCGCGGGTCACACTGCAGCACGGCCCGGCTGGCGGACACGTACAGAGCGGTTGCATTAACGGGGTTCATAGCGGTGTACTCCGCAGCCTCGGGGAAACACGGCCCGGGAAAAAATCCAACCACTCTCTGCAACGGAGCTCAAGATAGCCAAGTCTCAGAGTGGATGGAGGGAGTATAAACTGGCCTGGCAGAGCAACAATCAGACACTCCAGCGTGTCAATGCAGACATATGAATTAATAATAGACACAATAATAGACAACGAACATGGTGAAGTGGTTATCACTAGACGCGCACAACGTTAGCTCGGCTAGCTATAGTTAGCATCACCGGTTCGTAGTCGCTCCAATTCATCGACGAGCTTTCATATCACAAATAAAGTTTCTCTTAATTCGGACCAATTAGACCTTAGGTTACAATTCCTTACATTATCCCTAACGCTACCTCACAGCTAACAGTGAATCAAACGGTCAAACGACCCATGATCAAAAGGTTAGCATTATGTAGCTACAGTTAGCTTACGATATCAGCCAATCGTTCTACACGAGAGATGGTCGAAGTTAGACATAGCGCACATTTGCTATTCAACACTGTGTCCTCGTCGATGCCTAATTGAACAAAGAGTTCCTCAAAAGATCACACATTCGTTTGGTTAGCAATTAGCTACCAGACCCCAGGCGCGCACTTGATGTAAACAAGGCTAACCAGTTAGCGTTAGCATGGCTAGCCAAATTAGCTAGCGAAAATCCAAGCGTATCACTACCCCCCTCTAGAGCCGCCTTATACCTCACGCGTAGGAGGGAAATAAAAACTGTAAATTGAAATCCTGCGATTTTTATACGTTTTGCTATAATACTTGGAGAGCATCGACCGGAACATAGCTAACTACTCGTTTTACAAATGCATCAATCATTCGATTTTCCACTTTTCCTCGCATCAACCCCTCTCCCCAGGCATGATCATCTCGCGAGACTTCGCCTAGTTACCCTGGTTACTGTAGTGTACGAAGGGATCACATTCTACTCTGAACAATACACACCACACACACTTTCTTTACTTGCTGCCATAACCAACACAACAACTTGCCAATTAAAAGTAGTAATTACTTAATTATTTAAAGAAGAGTGTAAGAAATTAGACTGACTTGAATTAGGATCGAAGCATCGAGCTATATCATCAGCTTTTACCAGTTCCAGACCGCAGCTGGTGGGTGAAACTCAACTAACAACAAACACTGAATATCAGGTTGCAAGTGTTGGTGCCACTGACTGTGTGGTTGCTATTATTATAGAAAATATCAAAAGTGAATAGGCTTACATCCATTTTTATTCTGTTGTTTACTGAATTGTCTGTGTCAGTTCTATTCATTTATTACCATGGAATAATCAGAAATTAGAAAAACTTGGAGCATAGATCGAGGAGGGGAAATTGTTGTGACACAGTTGCAAACATTGCACATCAAGTCATAAAGGAATAGAAATAATAATAGAAAGTTGATAAGTAAAGAAGTATATAAATATAAGATATAAAGAAAAAATATGAAGGAGAGTGTGGATATGTACAATATTTACATTATTAACAGTATGTAATGATGAACAGAAGTAGTGAATAAATAGTAGTAGCCCAGTAATAATAAGTACTGGTAGGATTGATGTGGAATGGATTACAAATCCTTAAAAGAAATCCTCAAAGCATATTGCACAATGAATATTAAAACAGAAAACACTGCACATTAAGTATTAAAACAGATAATACTGCACATAATGTGAAGTATTGCACTATAAGGTCCAGTGTAATAACTATGGGTATGTGTGTCTGACACAATAAAAGTAATAGTTTGTACAGTATTAATTTGTACAGTTTTAGGGTAACTTGGCCTAGGCTGGGCAATATGGCCAAAAATGTTATCATGATAAAAAATAATCATATAATTCCATATTGCTAATTCTCACAATAAATGTCAAATCATTAATTCTTTCAAGTTTAAAGACTGATTTTTGACCTGTCCTGACTGAAAGCTGAAGAAACCAAATGGTTAATTGTGGTTTTAAACTAGTCTTTATGGTCAGAACATGGAAAACACTTGCCAAACAGTGGGCCAGCTAACAAATTTGTTACAATTATGATATCATCTTTTTTTTCAACAAATATGCATGAGTAAAATTAAGTAAAATCTTTTTTCACTCCGTTTTCCTCAACAATTTTTTTTATTATTCTATTACTGCAGTGTTTACAATTAGTAATAGCCATTGAAGGCATGGTGAAAGGTACACTTACCATTTTTTCCTACCGCATCTCAGGTACGGTGGACCTTGAGTAAAGATATTTTTGTCAAACTACTTTTTCCAAGGCCAAGACCTTCAAGCTCAAATTATGACTTTTTTAGGACTAAAAACTCACATGTTCTAAAATGACTAAAAGATTACAAACTGCTCCTCCTACCCTGTGAATGACACTATGTTCTTCAATGCAGAATTAAGTCAGGTACAGTTGAGAACGTTTTTGTATTATATGTCTATGTGTATATTGTGCTATTCAGTTGAGGCAGTAGGCTACTTCCCGTGGACTCCAGTGATCCTAGAAATGTAGTTGTTTCCCAGACTATTTTCTTATGCAATATCTGGTCTGCTTATAACCTCGCCTTTATACAGATAAATATGTTTAAGTCATAATTATAACACATATTACATAGGGTTCTACAGGTCAACATATTACTCTTATAAAAGAGGGTCAGTAAGTAATTGAATGCTTGTCGTGAAAATCAATACATTATGCACGGTCATTATTTTGCCCTATTTTAAACTGTCAGGCAGTCCTTACCTCCGGGTCGCCAACAGGCTCTGTCGATCAAGTTGTTATATTCCCGTGCATTTTCGGGGAATATTAGTGATAGAGACCCCTAACTGAGAAAGAGGCCAACCGGAAACGCTAAATTCAGGGAAAACTTATCCTAATAGCTTGACTTTCATATTTCAGCCTTCGGCGAACTACAGGAAAACTTGTTCCCCTCGAGGTCCCGCCCATTATACCAAGCTTCGTTTTCCTTCTTTCTTATTGGTTATGAGAGCTCGCCCCCATTTGGTATTGGCTCAAAATTCTGTCTTTCATTTCCTGCCCGCTGTCACCAGAGAACACGCAGGGCAATGATGGCGGCTTTCAGTGTGGCTCGAAGCAGCTGCGGACTAATAAACGGGTTGAGGATATCTTACAGGAGTTTAGCGCCAGTAAAACATGGCGCAGTCGCTGCCGCAGTGCCGCAGACGAACCTGCTACGGGACTGCCGCTGGTATTCCGTCAGCCACCTCTCCGTAAAGGAGAGGATTGACAAGAAACGGAAGGCGGCGCTAGTCGGGGGAGGTCAGAAGAGAATAGATGCACAACACAAAAGGGTAAAGTCAGCTAAAATTGACTTACTTTCTTTTATGTTCACCTGCATTTACGCTAGCATGTGTGCGTTTAAATGACTTAAAGCTTCAAATACATGACAGCTAGAGTAACGTTAGTTGAGGTGTGCAATGCGTGGCGCATGGGCTCCAAGTCAACGGTTAACTTACTGCTGGAGTCTTTAACTTCTAACTCTCAGTGGCACTTTCAGGAATGTCCTATGTTGAACATCCACCTGGCTGATCCCCAGTGCCCTTGAGCAAAGAATTAATCCTCTAACAACTTCATGTAGAAGTTCCACTTGGCAGATTTTAACTCTGATAAAAATGATAAAATTGCAGTGTCCACAGCCCAATGTGAAGGACGAAAGTCAGACAACTTGACATGTGACCTATTTCACTATAATAATAATTCTTTCTGGTTATGACCAGTCCTGATTTGTTTGCACAAATTAATGTAATAGTTGGAGGGATGGTCAGATGTTATGCTGTTTTGCTCAGTGAAATCCATAGATGTAACTTGGTCAGTAAACCTATAGAAGTAGGTGATATCAACAAAACCCTCTGTAGAAAATATTTAGGGGAAACACAGACTGGAATGTAAATTAAATACCTAACAAACCCAGGTACTAAACTCATATAAAATTAAGTATTGCCATACAGCAGCCCTTCTGAACAATAGACAGCATTGGCCACAATAGACTAATACACCCAGAGACATTAAAGGGATAGGTTCCACATTAAAAGGAGTATGGCAAAATCTCTAATGAGTGACAAATTTGTATTGTGTCGTCGGAACAAGCAACTGTAGTGTAGTGTTCTTCAATTCAAGTAAATGTGTAGTAACTCAGTGTTATGTATTGCAGGGTAAGCTGACAGCCAGGGAGCGAGTGGAGCTCCTGCTGGACCCCGAGTCCTTTGTGGAGTCGGACATGTTCGTTGAGCATCGCTGCTCTGACTTCAACATGGAGCAGGATAGAAACAAGGTAACAGGGAGGGCGCACACAGGCCACAACTCAGCAACATCATGCTTTATACACTGGAAACGTTTCTTCTTCTGGGGTTTAAAATATTAATTGTCTTGATATTTTTCTCTCTCTGTCATAGTTCCCGGGTGACAGCGTTGTGACAGGCCGAGGCAGGATCAATGGCAGGCTGGTTTATGTATTCAGTCAGGTATAATGTGTAATTATACTGTAACAATACTACATTGTGGCAGTACACAGCAGCTTGGTTTCACCTGTATAATATTTTTTTCATCTTGCCCTTTTCTGTTTTCTTTCAGGACTTCACAGTGTTTGGCGGCAGTCTGTCTGGAGCTCATGCACAGAAGATCTGTAAGGTAAAAAAACTGAGATACTGAGAGTCTTTTTCCCTCAGTAAAAGGTCCTTGTTGACAATGAGACTTAATGTCTGTGGGTGTACTTGAATTTTGTTTATGCTTCTTCTTATTTGATCTCAGACTGTTCAAATACTCATTTGAATGTTCAACATATAAATATTCTGTGCTCAGATTATGGATCAGGCCATGACAGTTGGAGCCCCGGTCATTGGGTTGAACGACTCTGGAGGAGCTCGCATCCAGGAAGGAGTGGAGTCACTGGCTGGATATGCAGATATATTTCTGGTGTGGTTATTTTGTAGAGTCTTTGTACGACCCTGCTCATTCATTGAAATCTTAATTATACTCAATACATGTACATTATACTTAAAATAATACATACGTTCTGGGTTGAGTAGCAGACACTATAAGCACCACACACTTTTGTGCATTTAACGTATTCCCAATGTTAACATTTTGAAATACATATGGGTGGAGGTTTAAGGTTGTTAGACTCTATAAGGTAAAGTAAGTAAGTAAAGTTAAGTAAAAACAAAACATTCTCCTTTTCAAGAGGAACGTGTTGGCTTCAGGAGTTGTCCCTCAGATATCCCTCATCATGGGTCCATGTGCAGGGGGAGCTGTGTACTCGCCCGCCCTGACAGATTTTACCTTCATGGTTAAGGTAAAGAGCTGCACAAAGACAGCTAAAATCCATTTTTTTATATTAACTAATCATCTTATAATCAACACTGTCTTTCATTTTTAGCCACAGCAGTGATGCAAAATCAAATGTTTCAGTGTTTGTAAAGTGTCAGCATTCTTTTAATTTTAGCTTTTCTGCAAATTAAGTAAGCATACCCGTTTCTAAGATTGTATTCTCACAGCTGTGCGCACGTGTGTGTGTGTGTGTGTATAGGACACATCATACCTGTTCATCACAGGACCTGATGTTGTGAAGTCTGTCACCAATGAAGACGTGACTCAGGAGGAGCTCGGTGGAGCCAAAACGCACACCACCGTGTCTGGTCAGTTAGTTTGTAAAAGCTACATCGCTCCTGATTTTCTTGTTTTGCTTTGTTGAGTTGAGTTTCCTTCCAAAATCAATCTCATGGTGCTTTTGTCATGTGAAATGTTAAGCTGTAGTAGCCACTGGCTCCGCATCCTGCCTTTGGTTTACGTCCTATTGGCCATATTTCTAACAGCTTTTGAGTGTATGAAAGCTGATCCAGGATTACTGTTCACATCAACATAAAAGTGAGCAATAACTCATCTGAGATTGTTTGAGTTAAAATATTGTCTTTAAGGTCTTAAACGTGTCTCATGTCTTCTACCCAGGAGTGGCTCACCATGCATTTGAGAATGACGTCGAAGCCTTGCTCCACCTGCGAGAATTCTTCAACTTCCTGCCGCTGAGCAATCAGGATCCCGCCCCCATCAGGGAGTGCCATGACCCTAGGTAACCAATCACCTTTACCTCCATTTTACAGAACAACCTTAAGTTCTTATCGGGACATGTTTTTAATCTAACTCATGCCTGACATCGCACTCCTTTTTTAGCGATCGTCTGGTACCTTCATTGGACACCATCGTCCCGTTTGAGACGACTAAAGCCTATGACATGTTGGACATCATTCAAACAGTATGTGCACTAACAAACACCCTTCCACTCTTATATGTGGAACCTCATCTCATTTCCACAACTAAAAGTTTCCTTTCTTCATGCATCTGTTCAGATAGTGGATGAGAGGGACTTCTTTGAGATCATGCCCAGCTACGCCAAAAACATTGTGGTTGGATTTGCTCGCATGAACGGACGCACTGTAGGCATCGTGGGTAACCAGCCCAAAGTGGCTTCTGGTGAGTAAAATAATTGAAGGGCCAAAAGTAAGAGCAGCAATGAAAAGGGATGTTGTGTGAATTAGATAATTGTCCCTTTTTAAAAATTATATACGCAAACAAAGCAAGTCCCAAAAAGGGAGAAAATAAGTTGGGAACAAAGGCATTGTCAGTTGATTTATAATTTACACTTGGTGTGTTTTAATCATGCTGTTCTCGTTTATCAGGTTGTTTGGACATCAACTCCTCAGTGAAGGGAGCCCGCTTTGTACGCTTCTGTGATGCTTTCAATATTCCCATCATCACCTTTGTGGATGTGCCGGGCTTCCTGCCAGGTATTCTTTGAAAATCTGGAATAAATAAATACTTGAAATACTCTATATTTTACATCTTAATCAGGTTAGGGTACTGACCTATGATGCCATGAATAATACATTTAGCAGAATGTTTTTGTCTACCGGTTGACTCTTGGTCGCAGATTGGCTTGCACAAAAAGTAGGAAATTTGTCTGCCAGCTATTAAATACATACTACAGTAACACATTTTGATATGGTAGTAAGCCAGGTATCTTAACTAGGATACTCATAATTATTGCCTGACCTTGCTATATTGTGATCTATACACATGAGCCAAAAACTGGGCTACTTCATATGTAAGCAGGCATTTTCCTTGCATTGAAATGTAGCTACTGTCACATCCGACAGCGCCCACCATCACTCCCGTTACAACTTTTGTGATGGCCGTCAACAGGTACTGCTCAGGAGTATGGAGGCATTATCAGACACGGAGCCAAACTGCTTTTTGCCTTCGCAGAGGCCACTGTCCCGAAGATAACCATTATCACCAGAAAGGTGTGTGTGTGTGTGTGTGTGTGTGTGTACACAAAATGAGAAAAGAAAATCTCAAAGTGAAAGAATGAGAGTCAGAATAAATGTTGTTACACTATGTACATAAGACATATGACTCAACGTGTCTGTGTATCCAAGGCTTACGGAGGAGCCTATGACGTAATGAGCTCCAAACACTTGAGAGGAGATGTGAACTACGCCTGGCCCTCAGCTGAGGTTGCCGTCATGGGTGCCAAGGTACAATCACACTCATTTTTGTGTCTCCTGCTTTCCTTTACTTTTGATTTGACAGTAGGTATATTCTGTTTTCTTTCTTTCTCAGGGTGCTGTTCAGATTATCTTCAGAGGAAAGGAGAACCAGGCTGAGGCCGAGGCTGAATACGTGGAAAAATTCGCCAACCCCTTCCCCGCTGCTGTCAGAGGTACTTTCTCACGTTATAGCTCTCCAAAATATCATCCTCCCTCATCCTTTCACATGCTTAAATTGCATGCACCAGTATATAATACATTATACACTTCTCTTTCTGACTGGCCAAATGTTCGGTTTAGGTTTTGTGGATGACATCATAGAGCCGTCGAGCACTCGCAAGAAGATCTGCAGAGATCTAGAGGTGTTGGCCAGCAAGAAGCAGATCAACCCCTGGAAGAAACACGCCAACATTCCTCTGTGAAGCAGCACACCCAAACTGTTACTACATTAACACTATTTAAAGGCACTGTGGGATTTTCTTCATATTGTCTTTGCATTCAAACTGCAGTGGTACCATGTGATGACGACTTGCCTGCCAAGCACACTTCTGTTGTCATATTTAACTGTCATTCACCACTCCGCTGAAAGAAGTAAAGAACGCCCTGATTTTGTAAGTGCTTAATAGCAGTCCCAAATTTATATTTAATATATAAACTATTTTAAAACATCAGCCTCCAGCTGTGACTGGATTTGGGGGAACTATTGGTGCTCTGTAAACCAAATCAGCATGTGTATCTTTACATTTTTATCACTAATATGCAAGCTATTAATAGGAAAATTCTAACACATTCTACAGTACCTGAATGGAATAATACATTGGTCACACATTTTAAGGTAATCGTCATGGCAGTGGGGACCATATTGGTCACTGTTGTTGGTCTGATGTGATGTTCTGAAAACAGAATTGTATCTGAAAGGGCAGACTGAATGCAATTTAAGAAAACACAAGCAATTGTCAACAAGATAGTTGTAGTGGAAAATGCAAACATGCTGTCTGTTGTCATGTAATGTTTCCATAGTTGTCAACGTACTGTATTTAGTTCTTTAGGTTTCTGGTGTGTACAGCAGTAGTTTGCGCTTTCATACGCACTCCGTGTTTCATGTCCTACATTTAGTCATCCTTACAATCTGGAACTGTGCCTTTTCTCTGAGGCAGGCTCTGCCCTGCCATTTGTAAAATAAATCATTGGACTTAATACAGTTACCAAGTGTGTTTTCTTTACTTTTACCAATGCAATAGTTTTTGTAGTCAATATGTCGCTATAATCCCTTGTTGTAAGGATAAAATCAGGTGGTTTAAAATAATTGGCAGCTTTGTCCGCTGAGTGATTTGAAGGTACCAACTAAAATGTCAGTGAAACTCTTAAATATTCAGAGAGCTGAAATATTCAAGCAATTAAATTTCCAATGTCAAAAAGGAACTGTGAAGCTCTACACAGTTATAGTCTACTATGAAAATGCTGTCAAAGTTTTTGATGAAAAACTGCAGCTGTCAACTATTTTGAAACTGAAACAAAGGCACACAAACACTGGGCCATAAATTGATTACAGATTTTATTTTATTAAAAAGAATTTAGGTTCACAGAAAAAAACAGGGATTTAGAGCATTTTAGGGCAACTGATGTCAACTGCACTGCAGAAAAGATCCAATTGTCTCTGATATTTACAGGACTGCCAAGCCAGCCAAGAGAAAGGTAAATGATTGATAAACAAACGGTGGGTGAACGACGATATGGCTGGAAACATTCAAAACACATTCAAACTAATCTGTCAGACAGAGATCCATCACTGCACTGGATATGAACAATGGTAACAACAAATCGTCAGCTTCTTGGATCAGTTAACACTGTAGGCAGGTGAAAAACTTAACTTGATTTGACCTGTAAAATGAACAAACCTAAGAGATAATCTGCTGTAATACTGAACTGTGAAACGATTACAATCAGACCATACAGCGCTTAAAATCTGGTACCCCACAGCAACAATCTGAACTTGGTAACCGTTGGATATGAGTTTCAGGTGTAGGGGGAAGGGGCTGGAATATACTGTAAGTATGTAGGCCACAATTTGGCAACAAACAAGATACATATTCAAGAAAAAGCTGTACAAACATCCGACAAAAACAGAAACACACTTGATTTAAAACTTTAGTACTAAAGCTACAGAATTCAAAATATGTTTATTGTCTTTTTTTAAAACTTTAACTTCAAAAAGCAGTTATTCAAGGGTGTGTGTGTGTGTGTGTGTGTGTGTGTGTGTGTGTGCGTGCATGTGTGTGAACAGAACATGTCCAAGATCTGAGATGGGAGGGCTTCTGTCAGGGGTCAGTTTGGGGTGGGGGGTAAGGAGGTGGGCTTCACCGTCAAATGACAACACTCGTTTTGCTTTGACACACAATAACATCACTTCTTCCAGGTCGGTCTACAGCCGTTGACCTCTGTGTGCCTGTGCAACTACTCAACCATCATCATCATCATCACCACCACCACCACAACTTTACACACATCACACACCAGCACCACCACATACAAGGACTCAGATGGCGCACAGAGAGAGGAGAGGCGGTGGGTGTTAATAAGAGCAAATATATAGTACATTTAGTATTGAGATCCCTTCTATGTTGGATTTAACCAGACGGATCGAAGTGCGACACCAAAAGAAGGGGGCAAGGGTCTGTACAGTGTTACACTGCTCTGTGCTGCTGATGGGGAGCGGAACCAAACAACTGTACATCTGTGTAACAGGGAACCGTAAAAACTGCGAGTACTCCTCAGGCCGGCAGCCAGAGCGCCGTCAGAGATACCGCTAACAAGAACTTAACCAACAGGCTGGAGAGGAGGAGGAGGAAGATTGGGCAAGATGAAGCTCTTGAATAATCCGAACTAGATACTGGAGAATATTCTGGATCCTCCGGTCCGCCTGAAAGAACAGAGCAGACCCTCGCTTCACACTTCCAGGTGAGATCCAGCCGACGCGGGATTCATCAGTAGATCCACTTGACAAACATCCTTCCATCATGTCTTACAGAAAGAGAAAAGTACTTCGACAATGTTTTTTTCTTCTTCTTAAGAGTTTGATTGGCAGGTTATGTGGGTTCGATGTCCCAACCCCCCACCCCCCACCCCTTGTGTTTACTCCTGACGTGGATCCTGATCTCAGGGTCTTTGCCTCTTCTCAGATCAGAACATGGGCATGCTGAATCCCTGGAACAATGGAGAGGAGAGAGACTGTCAGACAATCTTGAACAGAAAATAACTCCAACCTTGCAGTAAGTAATACGCATCACTGTCCCTATCTTTTGGCACTGGAAGTCTAAAAGCTCAAATTCTCGGCATATAAGTCTGGCATCGGGCCATCGTCAGATTGACTATTTATATTCCTACATTTACTGTGTGATTAGCACAGTTGGTAGTGCACAGGACTCCGGTTCAGAGGGTTGTGTGTTCAATCCTTGATGCTAGAATTTATTTTCTTCCCTTTTCAACAAATTGATTGTGAAGCGATCGTATTACATATCACAATTAAGCATGTGCAGGTACATCCCTGCGATTGGTCCACATCAACTAATGGGCGTCCTCAGTATCTCCAGGCAGAGGAAATTCCTGCATTTCTCATTCAGGGGAATCCGAGCTCACATTTTCTGACGGCTCTTTCAGAGGTGTGTCAAGCAAGCCAGAGACTCTTTTGAATTTCCTGCAGAACTTTTAAAATAAAAGCTCCCAATTAAAAACGACATAAAGTACTGCTGCAAAAATGTTCTCACACTTTTATTTTGTAAGCACAATCACTTAAGAGGAAGTGATTACGTGAGTGACTTTTGCTGTCATGACTGAGATCCGTTTCAGCACCAGCCGCTATAATTATTTTTTGCCGCTATCAAAGTAATCTGCCCACGGGCCAGATATTATTGCTGCGGGCCAACTTTGGCCCACGGGCTGTCTATTGCCGACCACTGCTTTAAAGTATGAAAAGTCCAGTTTCAATCAATCAAATCACTCAGTTCTGTATGTGATTTAAGATGTCTAATTTACGCATAGGGCAGCAACACATGATCAACAAATCTAAAGATTATTTTCTTGGTATCGTGGTCAGAAAAGAGCTCAAGATATTCAGTTTACTATCATGGACAGTAAAGTAAAAACAGCGGACGCTCATATTTTAGAGGCTGGAAGCAGTGAATGTTTACATTCTTGCTTTAAATGACTTAAATAATTTATTATCAATATGGATACATATTGTGTCAATATGTACTTACCGACTCGTCTTCAATCATCGCTGCAGAGTCAAAGAAGTCTGGTCTTAATTCTGCTCTTTCACGTCTGTTCCTCGATGGCGGCTAGAAAGGACAAAAGCCAAAATTGATTTGATGAAGTAAAATAATTAATGGAGACAGGGCTCTTGATGCATCTTTATTTCTTTAATGGAATTTCACATTCAAAATGCGGTGAGAGAAAGCATCGTCACTGACCAGGTCGATCACCATCGTGTCTTCAAACTCCTCGTTCATATCCTCCAGCTGGCCCCGCGATGACATCATCACATCCTCGAAGATTGGCTCTGCGTCATCCTCCATCAACCCGCGGCTAATGGAAAATTAAAAAAGAAGCAAGTAGAAGGAACACAATTAGAAAAGCAGCAGCAGCACACCCAACTGATTACCTTCTTTTTTCTTATTCTCTTTATTCATTAAAAACGTTTGTTGCAGCTCTCTAATTTAACAGCGGACTGACACGACCCATAGCGAAGTTGCGAAGCCCGGGCTTCATCTGTTTGTGCTGCTGTTTTTAAAGCTTAACACACTTACACAGTCTGCCGGACGCCCTGATTGCTGCGTGACTTGATGTAGTTCATGCCCGTCCGGTCCTTCCTGTTTACCTCGTCCATCTTCTGCTGGCCGAGCCACGACATCTGCATCTGAGGACTGAAGACAAACAGAGGGTCAACATACTCCAGTTTGATATCACTTCTTAGTACTTGCTATTACATAAAGGTTACTTGTAATTCACCGGTTTACATAACTCAGTTCAATATGTATTTGGAAGTAAATAGAAGATTCTGACTGACACTAATCTTGTCTGTCTTAAAAGGTAATTCATGAATTGGTTTTAACTTCACAAACCATTTCATGTTGGTGTGTATGAATGTATATGTTTTCATTCTGAGTATACACTCACTTGTGTACGTAGTCGTTCTCTGATCCAGGTTCTGAGTCCGGGTCAGGCATGTGTTCTGCCGGTCTGTTCTCTCTGAGGACTGTTGAGGTGAGCTGGGGTGTCTGCAGCGCACCCGGTGTCTGAAGAGTGTCATTACGCATCATCCACGAGCCCTCCACACTAGTCTCTTCTGAAAACGAACGCACAGAGAAAAGTTGATAGTATCAGAAACACAATTTCACGTAACGGATACAGTGCAGATAAGCCTACCCAAATAGAGAGTAACCCTCATCTGTGTTTGTGCACCTGTCTCACCCTCAATGCGTTTCTTGTGTAGAGGCGGTCGTCCCTTCTTGCTGCGGACTGAGCCAGTCTTGCTGCTGGAGCCCGACGTGACAGACATGTGGTCCTCGTCTCCTCCGGTCAGCAGGCTGTTCCTGTAGGAAATCAGCGGCAGCCACACATCCTCCCGACGCTCCGACATCGACTCTGACATAAACTTCTCCAGGTACGAGTGGCTGAGAATGCACGCAGCATATTAGCATGATTCATTTATTTTGAAATGACATTACGAAGGTTTTAAGTGTAAGATTAAGTTTTTGTCTTAGAGTGGGGAAAAAAGATGGAAGGGAGTACTTACACTGTCTTTTTGTCTTGGCGGATTAGTTTGGAGGAAAATTCACTCAGAACCTCAAGGAAGGCCAGGTTGATAGGAGGAAACTCTGGTCCTCGAGGATTCTGGTACTTAAATGCAAACTCTATTCCATCCCTGACATGAGTGCACAAGACAGAGACAGAAAGGGAGGAAATAAATTGCTAGCAGAAAATATTTCCATACATTCAAGACATACTCTTGTCATAGTGTGAATTTATTAGATGTTGAATTGACTTTTCCCAGCAAATCTTAAAATATAAATATGTCACCAGATGTCAGTGTACTTTTCTTCAGCTTGTAAGCAATTTAGGCTATGTCACCCATCCTGTAGTATCCTGTGTATGTTATGGTAGCCCGAATTTGAGTGGAAGCTGTAGTACTGAGCAGATACGCACT